ATAGATAGATAGATAGATAGATAGATAGATAGTACATCCTGAATATCAGACTATAAATATGTATTCAACTGCTTTAATAGCACAGACACTGGGGATCAAAATTTTCCTTTTTTTTCAGGTTAGGAAATTGAACATATGGTTTCGGAGGTCCATGAGAGGCTCTGCCAAAATACATCCATTTTAATCCTCTGGTAGTGACAACTAAAATAGCAATTTAGGGGAGAGGGATTTCAATTGCCACTACCAGCTCAGGTGTTAGCTCATCTACCAGCAAAGATCACCCATATGCTCCGTATCACGAGCTCTATTGGACTCGGTGGAAACGGCAACATCTGTTTGCCCGCGTAGATGAGCTAATTTCTGCAGCTATGTCGGCTACAGCAGAAATCCATGCACACCGCCCTAAGGACCTGGAAGCAGACATGGCTTTAGGTTACACGCAGCACACCAGATGGAGGTCCTCTCCAAAGTCCATCAGTGGCAGAAGACGGGGCCCACTCACCCCTTCCCCGTTCACAGCTTTAGCTAACGACACAACAGTGACTGTGTGTGTTTATGCAGCCCATTAATGGAGTACTCAACAAGTTGTTTCAATAAATTATAAGCTGAGACTTGTGATAATGGGGCCCCATGGATATTTCTTCTACTTTATGATTTTGCGTTACTGAAAAGAGAAGGCTACACTTAATTGCAATTTACTGTGGCATTGTTTCTGTTGACAACCAAAGTGCAACTGTTTAGAAAAACTACGGTTATTGATTCCTATTAGCGACAGCTCCCATGTAGGCTCCATGTTCCACTGTAGTCATCCTTATTGTTGCCTAAGCACAGTTTTTGCCACCTGACAAACATTAAAAAACCCCAAAACAACTCCTGGACTCGTTTATATGATAATAACCAATCTTTTACCTATTGTTGTCTGCCAGTGGTAAATCACATGGTTAAATCTAAGCCTATTTGTGCAAGAACTGAACTGAACAAACTTTCCATGCACTGAGCAGTTGGTACCATGGGGTGAGCACATGCTTTCTTTGGCTGCCAGGAAGGCAGCGCAAGCTAGGAGATGAAAGGATCACATCCATTCTGAAGGGGACAGAGAGGCTAATCCCTCTCCAGCCCCTGGATACTCCGTCCCTTAAGCTGTTCCATTTTCTCCCTCCAGGAACAAATAACACTTCCCCACTTACAACAACTTTCATAGGATTACAATGCAGATCTCTCTGCACACCATGGAGACCAAGAAAAACAACGTCAAACTGGAAGAAAAAATAACGACAATCTTGAATAAGCCCTAAAATGCCATCTGTAAACTAAGATATTAAAACTTTCTTCTCCATTTTGTGTTGTTCTTCTCTGGTGTGGTTACATCATGGAGTTGTGCAAATCACCTCCACACAAAAAAATAACAGTATTCCCACATAGGTTTTCTTTATGGATGCATTATGTATGTTTAAAAAAATGGACTTACTGTCATCTTTTCCCTTGCGATCACGTATTTCCAACCCCGTGTTGCCTAAAGGTGGCAAGCTGAGATCTGTGGGGAAACTTAGGCCACTGGTATTGTCCTCTGACAGCTGGTACATCTGTCTCTGCATGGGCTGCAGGTGCCAGTTTAAACCCAGGAGGTGAATGGCTGAAAAATATTAAAGGCAGGATTAGTAATGCGCGCCACCGAACAGAACGTCTGACACAAATCTATAGACGAGCTCTCAAATTGCTTTGTGGCAACTTTGTGGATGCCAAATGGGATGTTGGGGGAATGAAGAACAATATATGGCTTAATGGTTAATGGCATTTCCCCCAAAAGTGCTGAGCAGTCAGAATATAAGATGAATGCTACCCTGACCCCACGGGACAACATCTGTCTCCCCCCCCACCGGCATCGACGTGAACCTTTCGCTGTGTCTTGTCATTTTCCAAAACACATCACCTTTCTATTTCCCCGCGAAGCTAAAGGACGAAAAGGAAAAAAAAAACAAATCAGCAGAGTGAAACTAGGGCCGTTCGCTGTGAACAAAAGTGGACGGAGCGCACGGGTATTTTACAAGGTCGACAAAAGAAATGTCCTCTCCAACAATGGCAGCGGAGCGCGGAGAAGAGGAGGAGGGGCTGACCGTGACAGATCACCAATAAGAGAATGGACAAGACGAGCTTAGCAAGGCAAAAGCCGTCTTGGAAGTTAACAGTCAGCAGAATAGGTCCAGAAACTCAATATAGCTATTTCATTGTTTTGTTGGTCCTCTTAAGCTCTTGAAGCAAATAACCACACGATTCAATTACAAAGAGGGAAATTATTGGCCAGCCTTAGACCAAAGCCGGGGGACGACCTTCCAGTTTACTGTTGCCCTCTCTCTCTTTTCTCTTTTTTTTGAAAGAGCACACACTGCTGATCTAAAAGCATTCATTTTACTTTGGAGAACAACATAGATGGATGTCTATGAAAATATGAATTTGACCTAAAAGTGTATGGTTTCATTCTTTTTTCTGTATGTTTTAGTATTGTTAGATTGACTCACGTTTTACCCAAAGCACAGCTTTTGCAGTCTCTCTGTTTTAAGCGAACTAACAATTCATATATTAAGAAAAATAATATTTTATTCAGTTGTGTTTAAATCAAGCAGATATTAAAGGAAAGAAGGATGACATTAACAAAAATGTACTCTTTAAGATTAGGCGGCTACTCAACAATATTAAGATGACTCTTTCTGTAGCCTGAAAAGACAAAGTAGCCAGGTCTTCGATATAATTTTATAATGATAAGGTTAAGAAAAAGAGGAGAGCCTTGACTGAAAATTCTGCCTTTCAGGCGGTGGAAGGATGCTTTATGTCGACTTAGTAAGTCTTGCATAGAAAAAGAGGGAGGAAAGTATGAATATAGATGGAAGAACTAAACAAAAGCAAAGTCATTGGCTGGTTTTCTCAAATTAGGTAAAGATAGGTAAGATACATATGTTAATAGGGGGAAAAACTTTCAAGTTGAGGGAGGTTCACACTAGCGTATTTTCTGTGCCTGTCCAGTGCTTGTGGAGGCAAATGTGTGAGTGGAAGGCAACCAGGGAAGAAACAGATGGCTTTGTTTGTCGTTTTGTAAGCCCCAGAAAGACATTCCCTTTGATCTGTCGCGCTATTTTGACTGACAAAATGAAAAAAGAGTCGGCATATGTTGCTGAATGATTGCAAAGTCACCAGGCATGGTGTCATTCCAAGTGTCCTAGTAATCACGTCTTTGTGAGTCCCATTCTTCATCTCATCCGTCCCCGAGGCCTCTAATGGAAAATGGTTGAAGAGCCTTCCCCTCCCGTCCGCTAAGATTTACTTCAGTGCCTCCGTGGTATCTGTGATATGCAGAGCGTTGAACCTGAGCCAGAGAAGAGACTCCTAGTTTTGTTTTGCTCGCTCACTTTGCAAACTTTTCTGCACTGACACTCAAACGGGGTCTGCAAAATCGAGACAGGTAGTGAGAATGAGAAGGTGATTTAATGAGATGGACAGGCCGAGTCCTCATCCCAGAGATTCCCCTGACCTGTCAGGAGGACTACACTTTACAGCTTTGCCCGGTTTGTCCTGAGCACATGTTGTGTCCTCCCTCTGCTTATCTGCTGGCAGGAAGTCAGGTCACGACATGTGCCAATTACAGAACAAAGCTACTGTACTGGAGGACTTCTCGACCAATCTGAGAAAGGCCAATAAGAGCCTCTGTCACCTGATCATAGCCACTTCTTAACTTGCATTTGGCTCAGAGGAAGAGACAAAAATAATCCCTTTTCTGTTTTTACAGGTGAAAATCATAAAACACTGTGAGCAGCACATTTTCAAACCTAATATCCCTCGCTCGACTTCCTTTCGTATCTTTGCAATAAGACATGAGGAACAGTAAGTAACGGCACACTGAGAGGAAAATAGATTCATACACGGGAAACTAACTAGCTCTGATTTCCCTGTGAAGGTTGACAAGTAGTTCAGTAGGCTTCGGAATATTTTCTAAGAATAGGAATATGGATTTCAACCCTCAAAATATTAATGATGATGCACTAGCAAGAGAAAAAAACAATGCAGCAACCCCCTCTGTACAGCAGCAACAACTTTACATTAGAGGGAAATGCAAATTATCTATAAGGGATATGGGCAAAATCAACAATTTGATCTTAAACAAATAGTAAAAAGAAGCCCAGTGAGATCAATATGTAGTATTCTGAAGTATGAAAAGACAGGAACACATACAGATACTGTATGTACTGCTATAGAGGACTTCTCTGGTTTGATGGAAAATGAAGTAAAACATTTTCTGAGACCCAACCTCTCTGTCCTTGGCGAGATACCCGTGGTGAATGAAAGTGAACACAGGAGGATACTGATGACCTTAAAATGAGGAACATATAACAAATGTGCTAATGAGCGAGCAACCGCGGAGAAAACAGCGCCATCAGAGAACTTCCAGCCTTTGAGCACTTGAGAAAGTCGATTTACGCAGCTGTGATAAAGAAAAACCGTGCTGGAAGTCACCACATCTGTCACAAAACATAATGGGGTTTATTAGACATCTCATCCAAACTTCACAATTACAGGCCTCAATAATGAATTGCACTTGAAATTAAAAGTATTTTCTCATCAGCCTCTAATTAAAGATGGCTCTCCATCTTGATTGGAAATTCCAGTCTTAGGGCGAGGTTCGGTCTCCAGCATGTTTACTTGTGGTTCACCAGGAGATGGCTGGAGTTTTGCAGCATATAATCACATAGTCTGATTAATCACTGTCAGGCTGATGGGGCTGTTTGGCTTTTGGCCAAGGCACAAACACACGAGGCGTACTGTATCTTACAGACAGGCGGAGCATTGCTGATGCTAAAGCCGAACCAGGCCAGAACTTAATTACATTTACTGCCCTGATGTGAAACGGCTAATCCATAGGAGCTCAGCACCAGACACTACCAGTTCAGACTTCTCCCCCATTTGAAAACCAGCAGAGCTCTGAATTTCAAATAAAACTTTTAAATGGATTTGGTGACAAAAAGGAAATAATCAGAGTTCTAATCAGTTTGGTTCATTTGGCCCCGGGGGGAGCAGAAACAATAGCTTTTGTGATTGTTCCAGCCCAATGCATATCCGTAACAAATGTCCTCAATGAAGAATTCATTTATCTCCCTCATGAAGGCCATGCAGAGGGATCTGCCTTTTTTCCTCATATCCATGCAAATTAATTACAACGTTCACACAATTCCCTGCTCAGAGTTCTTTCTTACACTATGTGACTCCCAAAGAGCAACCATTTATATGTTAAGAAGGTCTTCACAGAAAAACAAATGCACCCGTATAGGTTCAAATATATCCATATATAAATATATAAGTGGAAGCATGTACGATTTGTATTTGTATTTCATCTCCATATTTCACCTGTTCTCTAGCAAAAAAAACTGCTCTTTATAATTTAACGGCAGATTGTTTTTGTTTAAATTTAGTTTGCAATTCATGCTGACAAAAACAAAGAAATTTAGAAAGATTATTGGAAAAGAACGTATTTTTACACAAGCAACAAGTAGTTTCGGACACAGAGAAAAAGAACTGAATAGTTCCCATTTAAACACTAAATCATAATGTCCAAATAATAAAATACATCACTTAAATATCACATCTTGTGGAGAGTGAGCTCTCCAATAAATTTGTTCTTTAAAGATTCTGTGTCTTTAGTAAATACTTCTTAGAAACTTGAAACACTTCTCTATATGAACCACACGAAATGGAGACTGTGTGCTCAGAATGGAATAGCAATTCCTTTAAGGATGAAAGCGGACAAATTGAGCAGAACTGATTTAATAGCATAACTTAGTTGATGGTCTTAACCCAGCTGGGTCCTGCGAGAGCTGGTCAATCACGTAAGATGAATATTCCAAACGTGCACTCCTCTCTTGTGTGATGGCTGATGTCTCTTTAATCTATTTTCTATCTGGCCTATTCACGAGAGTGAGACGCCGGCTGGATCCATCTGCAGATCCGACCCACCCAATCTATGAATGCTAATGTTTTTTCGAACAAGTTTTTTTGTGAGTGAGGAGTCAATCTGGAGTCCCAATATAACTATCCTGAAAAGGTGCAGGGAAAATATTCCACACTATTAAAACGGATGATAGAAAGAATTCAATAGAGCACAGGCTCACCCTGTGTCTGCGTTTGAGTGTGTGTGTGGGGGGGGGGTACACACTCTGGGGTGTAAGAGCGTTAGAAGTGACTCACCGATAAAGTAGGCTAATAGCAGCAGCAGCGTAACGGAGATGAGGATGGCACTGAGAGCGGCACACTTCCAGTTGCAGTGCTTGTAGGGCTTCTTCAGGCTGAAGGCGGGCCGGGAGAAGGTGTTTCGAGGCAGAGGGCGGGGGGGGGGCGAGTACACCGTGCTGGAGGTCAGAGGGTACCCGGGCGTGGTCGTGCAATACATGGGTGACGTCCCCCCTGGTTTGAACAGGAAGTGCCTGGAAAAACACATTATTTTGTTAGTTTGAGCAAAATCTAAGGACTAAAGCCCTCATTTAAATATCCTAATGTGAACTTCCCTCCACTAGTGAATCATTCATAGTCAATATTGTTAAAAACAGTCATGCTTCTGATTGATTAGTGAGCATACAAAGACATACCGAGGTTGTAAAGTTAACCCTAAAATGCCAAATGTGTCATATTTGATTCATACGGTTTCTGAAGTCTTTTGGATGTGAGACTTTTTGCATCATTCAGTGGTAAAAGCTTTGCTCAAACCCCTGTTGTACACATTCAGATATACCTGATAACAGCCAGTAGAAGACTACACCAAAATATATTTTTGACTTATTGCGCGCTAATTTGATCAAAATAATTTCTGTTTTTTTTTTCTTCAAATGTTGTTGAGGGGCCAAAGAAAGACTTCAGACTAAAAAAAAACCCAATATTCTTCCGATTTTTCTTGGATCAGGCTTTAAAGGGTTAAAAATGTGAATCAATATTCTAGTGCGATTGGACTAGTTACCACAGCTCCAGAGGAGAGATGCAACATATAAGGTTGTCGCGTGGAGTGGAGCAGATTTATTTGTCCTTGAAGAGCCCAGAAAACATGTGTAGGGCTACATGTGCGAGCGGTGTGTGATCAGCCGTTGTCAAGGCCGTTTTACTGACACGTTTAAAAGACGCTCTCCAGCGTCTGTGACACAAACCTGATTGAATGTCATTTTTACAATGTTTGATGTGGAAAGTCACCCGGACAATATTCTATTTTCCACACATCAAGACAAATCTCTGACACATCCTTTACTGGCGAAAGGAGACATAAAGCGGTCATGTTTAACATTAATCTAAAAAAAAAAAATACAACCCAACAATGCAGTTTGTTAGTTGTATCGAACGAGGAGGGGAGGAAATAAAGAGCAGGCGTTCGCTGATGACTGACGGTGTTTAAAAAAGGGGGGATGTTTGATGGAAACATGTGGAAACACGTTCTCATGGCAAAGCAGATTGGGACAGAAGCCGGAAGCAGATATCAAACATGCAACATACCCGTCGCTGAACGAGGCATCGCGGCGTGCCGATGCCAGAACGTCCATCTCTATCAGGTTGTCCTGTAAAGTCTCTAGGAATGCCTGCTTTGCTATGTTTCTACACACAGGTGGAAAGATGGATATGAAGCGAAGGTGAGAAGGGGCGTGCAAGAAAAAAACTCACAAATTGCAAACAAATGGCACATGGACGCCAAGATGGACGGCATGAAACAAGGAAACCAAGGCCCCTTATGGAACTACTTCTGAAAAGCGAGAGACACAGAACATCTAGCTCTCTGTTCCCCCTCTTTGTACACTACCATACCTGGTTTTGTAAGAGCCCTGCCCCTCTCTGCAAGCGTCCTGCTCTTCTCTGATAAACATTAGAGTATTCTGGCTCCTTAATGATTGGAAAAAAACAACGTATCACTTTACAAATCAGAACCTTCAGGTGGCTATTTAGACATCTTTAATTTTCACAAACATGTTACACTGGGTGGGGATAAATATAAGACTTTCGGTCCACTCTAAAGGATCTAGAGGCTCATGTCTCATTTCTCCCAAAATGCGCCCCTGCTAATAAGAGCTGTGTTCCATAAGGCAAAACAGCAGCAATGCGATGGACTGTTTACATGCGATGGGCAGACTGAACACATTCAGCGGGCCAAGAGAAAAAAAAGGCTCGGATTTGATCCGTGACCCACTGAGGCCAGAAGTAACGGCTGTTTGTGGACTCTCGGAGCTTTAGCTCTGGGGAAGAATGCACCTTTTAATGAAGAGAGGAAATAAGAAATGCCTGGCCCAAACTTTAGAGAAAATGGTGGTGTTGGATTGAGCCAACAAACCGCTGGCCAGCCTCCAGCCGCAGATACGATCTACCGGTGGAGAATTCATCAGGGCCTTTTAATTTCACACAAGTGATGAGAGAGGGCAACGTTACACTTTTTTCAACGAGGTAAAAGTGAAATTTAATACCGCCGTGTCCACACGGATAAAACTAATGATTCCAGTTTTATTGCTGTGGTATTTGATCTCTTTTTGACGGGGGTGATTTAGAGAAACTCAGCAGAACTCTTTCCTCTACTCACCATCTGTCTCCGGCTCCCTGGGGAATACCTAGAGCCGGAGGATGTGTAATCGTTCGTTATACTTCATACTGTCCTTCTAACTTAAATTGATTCTCATTTTCCCGTTGACTGCACCGTTTCACAAATACTGAACTCAGAGACAATGAGTCTGCTCTGGACCGGTTGTTTAGTCATGCCAAATTAGTTTCTGTTTTTCTGGCAAAAGTTTTCATTTCTCCCAGTGAATAACAGGCTATTTTCAAAATGTGTGAATCAAAATTATTCGTATCAGTGCCGGAAGGAATTTGAAATATTGCTAAACTTGATACAAACAACTTAATGATTTTTAAATGTATTAAAATCGATAAATAACGATTAATTTACAGCTAAGCTACAACACAGTCACATGTTCAACTTTGACCTCAACAATTGTGTTTTTTACGAAATTTGGTGAAGTCAGTTTGGTGAATCGACTTTTCTTTGGGGAGTTTTTCTACTATCAGCATGGGGAAATGATCAGTGGAAGAAGGGGATCATTTTACAACAGTATGCCTGATTTCATAGTCCAATAAGCCCAGCCAAATAACTACCAACAGACATTTCCTCTGTAACAATAACACTTCAAAGATCTACTTCACTTAAGAGCCACCTATTGTGAAATGAGCTGGAGAACTGAACGCTGATTAATCCAAAATTAATGAAACCTGGAGCTGAAGTGGAGGAACTACGAAAGCCTGCGCATGGGAGGCTATTTTGTATTATTCAACATGATTGTAATTACACTGCTATTTAGACTCAATGGCTTCCTCTAGGATTGTTAATGTTAGACAAACAGCCAAAACCAGCGTTTTTCTCTTGTTTGCCAAAAAATCATGTTCATCACAAACATCAATCTTTGCCCAAGCAGAATATTTTCCCTTCAGTTACTTTTACTCCCGGTTAGCACCGCGATACTTAACGGACGACATAAAAATCTTACATCCAGGTGCACACACACACACACATGTCGACGTCTCTTTGCAGAGCATCGTCATGGCGACGTGGCACAGTACCTGGTTTCCAGGGGGATGTTGCTGTTGAGGAGCCAGTTATCCTGCGCACTCCCCGAGTCCTGACCACTGGTGGGGCCTTCGGGGGGAGCGGAGCTGTCTGTGGGGGCCGGACTGGGGTTGCTCCTGGGGGTGTAGTTGCCCCGGTTCAGGGAGTTAATGGAGGCTGCATGGTGCTGATGATTGGGTGAGTGAGAGTGGGAGATGGGGAGAGGAGGCGTCCGCAGCCGAGAGTGATTTTGAAATGCTCCGTCTGAAAGCAAAGAAAGGGAAAAAAAATGTTTTAAACAGTATTTGATAACAATAATAACTACACAACTTCTAATAATTCTTTACTGCTCATCTTGAGACACAGTGAAATGTTAGTAGCGTTAAAATCACTTTCACGAAACAAAATAAGATTAAATATCCTTATGAGAAATGGGAAAAGGCAACTTTTTCCTATATTTCTTATTCCTGTAACAAATTCCCTGGTGAATTTGAGCTTTCAAAAAAAGCCGTTATACTGATGATAAGCGAGTAGCCATGATTTATACAACGCCTTTCGCTGATAAAAGACCAAACAAAATGAAAATAGGCAAAAAAAAGGGTATAATTCATAAATGTCTGAGTAAAAATACATGTTTAAATATAACAGGTACTAAGAGTTTTAACACTACATCACTGCCTTGTCCTACTTAGGTTATCTCATCTCCTCAGATTGGAGCAAAAGTTAAACAAAAGATGCAAAAAGAGGCTGGAAATAATGACTTCAACATCAATCATTTGAATTTGCTTTATTCAAAGATGCACAGAACGCTTTGGTGTTGCAGTAATGGTCAAATAATGAAAATATGCTACTATATGAAACTTGTTGTGTGGTTTGGAATAAGTCAATATACGACATAATCAAAGGGGAAAAAATCACTGTAAAGAAAACGACACCTCCCGCGTAATTTGACTCGCGCTGACAGGAAAATGGTTTTGAACAACAAATTAGTACCTAAAGCAAAGACCATAGTCAGTGACAAGCAGCAGAGACTGTACATGAGCCGGCCTTAAAAAGACGAACTTCTGCTCATTATTTCTCCCGACTCATCCACTGTGTGCACTCAGCCTCCCACAGAGACAACCAACCCCAATCAGACACGAGCTGCTGTGTAAACATATGAGCTTTCCTCTACAAAAACCTCTAAAAATCTTAAGGTGCCTCTGGAAATTCATTTAGTTAGAGAAGATCTTTTTTTTTATAAGAAACAACTCACTTTCAATCCCTTACCAGTTGCATTACTTTAAAAGCAGATAAGATGTATAAAGCCTCTATTCTGAGCTCCACAGCATTATCAGATCTGCTATAATTAGCCTGGTTACAAGAAATACCAGGGGTCAAGTCACATTCTAGGACTTCTAGTACACAAAGTTTTTTTTCTTTTGTCTTGAACCATATTGTTGTCATTTCATATCCAATAAATCTTAAACCCTTGAATGAGACCTTCTCACAGATGTTAGCCTTTCGTCATTTGGTCTGATTTGATGCCCACAGCTCTCCACAAGATAGAGGAACAATGACTTTTTGTTCTCTGTACGCGTTTATTTTCACGACTGCTAAGCCATTCATCAATCAACGAGCTCCTGACTTTACACAGAGTGGCTTCTCTTTATACCAGTAAGCCCCCTTTATTTCACAGATATCCACAACACCAAATTGCCAATTTACAGAAACACAGAGCTGAATACAGACGCATCGAAAGCTTATTTTCTATTATCAGCCCTTTCATTAAAGCGACACCTTAACATGCCAGTCATGGCGCTTGCAGCTCTTTCAGATGTTTTTCCGGGTCAGGAACACGAGACTCCCCCTATCAACAGGTGTCAATCAAGCCCGGGAGATAAACGTTTGAGGTGAAACGCCGGCTGTTTCCGACCACACGCTGACATCAAGGCCCGGTGCTCGATGCCCTTTGTGCTAAAGAGTCTGCAAATGAACAGCTCAGCAAGCAAAACAAGGACAAAACTGCTTTCTCGCTGTCTCTTTTTCCTCCAGCCCGTCTCTCTCTGAAGGCCTCCAACACTATTAGTTTAAGTTTTAAAGATCTTACACCTAGTGCTTTAACATAAGCAAATAAGAGTGACATTTTGAAACATTCCTATGCTTTTTTAAATGTATTTTACATCAGTGAAATTCAGAAAAAGCAGCATATGTTGCATCGGCAGATGGTATGCAGCAGATTCCAAAAACTTCGAGAAGACCCAGAGAGACGAGCACTCCACTTTTTGAGCAGCAGCATATTGGAGGGAAGTAAAAGCACACAGTGGTTGATGACCTCCCTCCTGCTCGGCTCCGTACCTGATCCCCGAAGCCATTAATAAGGTTATGCTAATTTGATGCGAAGACAGCACAGATACCCGGAAAAATGTATCACAAGGACGAACGCATCGCTGCTCCAAAATGCATTTAAGACCCAGGAAACAAATACTTCACTTCCCACAGTATGAAGACAAAGCCAAAAACATATGCTAAAAAAACAACATTAAACAACCACACAAGTGTATTAAGCAAACATTAATACAAGGTATTGCTATCTATTTTCAGGATATGTACAGAAAAGGGACCGCAAACCAGTGTGACTGTACACTTCGTTATCACATTAATTAAGAAAAATTAACCATAACCCTAGCAAATGCAAAACATTCATTCCCTATCAAACAAAAAGTTAGATTTCAATATAACTCACATACTAATTTATTGGCATTTATTTATTCTTCTCACACTGTCATTAAAACTTATTTTAGATCTGTATATATACATATTGTTACATATGTATATATTTATTTATATTTTGTCTGAAATGTTGTATATATATATATACACACACACATATATATATATACATGTGTATAGACATGTATATATGTATAACAAAACGAAAATAATGTCCCTCTCGGAATATAAGTATTTCTGATTCTGACTCTGATTTGAAGTAATTCCCTCAATACTGACAAACAACATGCTGCGTAATATTTGTAAATGTGTGTTTGTATCTCCTCCCTCATTTGCATCTACACTGTTTTCTAAAGCGTAGCAGAGCCGGCTGGACTCTGAAATAAGAAGATAAGCGTCAGGTTGGGACTGAAACCTCCTGCCAGACAGTGACGGAGCGTTTGGCCAATAACACGTCCAGCACTCAGGTAAGAAGTCGGTTATTCTCGTGTAGACAAACAGATAGACGAGAAACAAAGCTGGTTATGAGACAAAGCACGGAGGAGCACAGCCCCCACAGATGTGGTGATTCAGCAACAATTATTCACTACGATCCAGGGGATGGAAAAAAGAAGGTTTTTCTATTGAACTGCTCTGCACAACAAAACTGCCAAGAGAGGGAGATTCATTTGTTATCAGTCAGACAGAGAAGGGAGACCTTGCTACAATAGCCAAACTTTCACATCACATTCAAAGTGGAGGCCAGAAGAAATTCATTCAGTCTGGGAATGTGGGGCTTTCATTTTTCTTCCTAACAGATGTATGCACTAGTTAAGGCCTCCTGATGCTTTTCAAGACAAGTAATTAAGGCAAATCCACTTCATTAGCTAGGACCTCATACCCCACACTGGGAAATAACAGGAATGTCTCTCTTATGGTCGGATCTCATAATTGCTTTGAGAAATTGTCCAGTTTGTAACGGCAACATAAATCAAGATTAAAGATTGCACAGAAAATCCTTTAGAAAGCTTAAGAGCCTTTCTTCTTCTAAAAACAAAAACGTAATTAACAAAGTAATTGGAACACCTCGAGATCTCTGCACAAGAGAACAATTAGCTATTTTCTAAATTGAGAATTATGATTCAATATTAAATTTTTGAACAATTCCATTTCTAAGCACTTTAATTGTCACTGATTTAGTATTTTTGTATCAAAATGCTAACATGAATCCTCACATGCACGTGCTTGTAAACACACATAAACCTTTCTAAAGTAAAAGAGGAGAATTGAGATGATTGTAAAGTTTATTTTTCCCCCTCAGCCTTTTCATTCAAAATGAATAATGCTGACTTTATTAAATGTCATCACTACATTAAAACTATAGTATTAATTGGTGGATGAAACGTTCAATCATCCCATAGAACATGAAGTACCACGAAGTAAAAAGTGTTAATGTATAAATAGACCAAAAGTTGTGTTTCAGTGGTAAACTTAAGATAAAGAAAATATATATATTTTTATCTTATGCTTCCTCTTGCTCTCTACTTCTTCTTCTTCCTCTGTCATCTGATTCGGCCATCCAAGAGACATTGCTATCTATCACATCACAGGATTTTTTCTCTATACTTTGCTAGCCACCACAAACTCAGACTTGGTTACCCATCACCTGCTTATGAGTCTGGATCTGGAGCTCCAACAGGATCTTTGTTTTGACTTTGGGACTTCCGATTCCCACTTAATTGGTCTTTTTTACCCACCTATAAAATCAGCTTTACCATACCTGCCTGTCTCTTACACACAACTACTTAGTGCTTAACCATTGAAGAGGCCTTTATATACCACCTGATTAAAATCACAAATGCTGGCCTTGGTGACTAAATATGCAGCAACATAGAAATTGATCTAGATAAGCAAATAGACAAATGAAAACATGTTTATTGGAAGCACTGCAGCCAGATGGGAGTATGGATTACTCTAATTGTTACAGGAGGATCAATCAAGATTGGTATAAATAGCTATTAAAATATGTCAAAGAGGCCGCTGTGCTTTCTGAACCAAATATCAGTAACTGTGCACCAACTGAAGAAAAGATGGAATATTCAAACTGACTCTTGGAGAACAAACCAATTTCAGAGTCATTGTTTTTTCACATGCACATGTAGGCTGAATCTTTTTTGCTTAACTTGCCTCTATACACAAGTCCAGATTGAGAGTCACAGTCTAGACAAAATGCAAACTTCTAATAAACAAACCTGGTAAAAACAAAGTGATATGATAGACATTAAGCAACCCAGATGTGAGCCATTTGATAGAGGATTATTCAAAAGCTGTCCGGATCCCAGATAATTCATAAAAACACCCAATAGCACACCGAAACTAACTTTACAGTTGAGTGCCATTAGCCAATAAGAAACAAACCGAATGTGTCATAATGCAGAGAAGCCGCTCTCTGGTTCTCTGTGATAGCCCTGCTGTTTCTTACACCATTAGGAGAGTCTGAAGGCCAGAGACATGTGGGAATAGTAGCTGTCTTCCCTGGAACCATTTGAGGGGTAACAGGTATCACAAACAACAGGGTGCTCCGCTCTGCTTTCATCCTCTGCGGAAGAAGAGAGGAAACACATCTCCTGGAATCTGAATACGAATTCAGCTTCATTATCAGGTGAGAAAAAACATCCTGATGCCCAAGCGTAGTCAAACGTAAACATAAAACATCGATAGCAATACTATTTATGAAGAACTGCGATCCAGATCCATTAAGATCAGCTCTGGCATATGTCTCTTTCTCCCTTCCTTAGATCGAATGGATTTTCTGTCATTGTTTGAGCGGCCTTGGCAAGAGCAAGACAAGTGGTTACGTATGCCCCATTCAGTGTGTCACTCTGCTGCGTATCCATCAAGAGGTTGAAGATTTTGTTAGAAGGCACAGATGGTCTGCAATTATCATACAATGAAAGTAATGCATCTCAATTTGTGTCAATAAAACGAAGATCTGTAGGTATTCTAAATGCATTAGCCATGGTCTCTGAGAAGTGAACAACGGTGAGCTGAATCGAAGCGGACAAATTGTCTGTTGACTCCAGTTCATTGATAAGTTTCATAAGAGAGTGATTGCTTGTGAGGTGAGCTGTGAGCTGAAACCTCACAGATCCAGAAAAACAGTTCAGCACATGCAGGCCCCACGTGCTCATTCCTCACGGTGTCTGTGACTAAATGACTCTCTGTTTCCACCTCCTTTATAGGGTTGTCAAAAGTATCGATACTCCAAAAAGTATCGATACTAAAATGTTGTATCCGGATACGATACTCATTTTCAAAAGTATCGATACCAACGATTCATTTATGTATTTATTTACGTTGTTTATGATCATTAACAAGACGTTAGCCTTGAACTGCTAGCTGCGGCTAATGGCTAATGACAACACGCCAACAGTAATCAAGTACCTATCCAAGTCGGCCATTTTGATTACATCACCAATAGGAAGATCCCAGGCAAGAAAATCGTAATCGCCTCATGGCAACATAAACATTAATTTAAAAAAATAGTTAAATGGATCTTTCAAACACTGAATTAAACTCTATCCATAATATTATGTTAAAATAGTGGATGTTAAATAGGTTTGTACAATAAGTCCAAACAAGTTTAACCAAATTATATTTATTTCTCAAAATTATGAAGGCTGGAGGTTTAGGGTTAGGTTTAGGGTTAGGTTTAGGGTTAGGTTTAGGGTTAGGTTTAGGGTTAGGGTTAGGGTCATTAATGTGGGCCACCAGTCACAATAACATCAGCAACAGGTCAGTTTGAAATGAAAGACACAATTTAGTAAAATTTTGGGGTCTTTGTTTTTATCCTTGTGGTATCGAAAATGGTATCGAGTATTTTCCTGAATATCAGTATTGAGTTGAAAATTTTTGTATCGTGACAACCCTAATCCTTTAACACTTTTCCATCTTTGCAGATGCAGGGGATGGAGGGGGGTGGTGGCCATTAAGCGTTTAAAATCCAGACCTATTTGGATTTTCCCAGAGACCCGTCCCAAAGCTGAGCATTAGTGCTTGGTCAGCTGTGGGGGGGGCGGTGCGGTGGCCCTTTCTCCGGGGAGCCCGGCCTCTCTGAAAAGCCCACACTGGCCGGCCCCACGCTGCTTCGCATTAAGACATGCTAATGCGGGGGGGCCGCAGTGTCTGGGATCTTGCAGCACAGCGTGGCGCCGGGCTCTTCCTGGCAGGAGGAAGACCCCCAGAGAAAGCCCGGGGCCACCGAGAAACACACGCCTGACAATGGGGGCCGCGGGCTTCAGCGAGCAGCCTCATCAACCTGAGAGGAACTGTTGCCTCGTCTTCTTTCAGATGAAAACAGCACGGTGAAACACAAATAAATAAATAAATAAATAAATAAGCTCTGCAGCCTTGAAGGCTACTAATGTAAATAATGATATGCCGCTGAGAGTATTCCCTTGTTCGAAATCCAGCAGAACATCTGAAGTCTGAATGTGAGTGTGTGGGCTCAGATATGACCCTGGGCAAATGTAATCAGAAGTTATAAAAAAAAAATAAAAAAATAAAAAAATATCCCACCTGTTTTTCTTGAGCAGGAGATCCACTGCCTGCCAATTATTTTAGGCAGATTTTTTGTGGTTGTTTACAGACAACGGAGAGGCAGATTTGTGTTGTGGTGTGTTAAATGTGATGATGTTTCTTCAACAACTGACCTGAGACTCAAAAAGACCTCATTTGGTGACTCGAGTCATTTGAATGTTCATTTTTTAAACGGTGGTTTTAAATCACGTGTAATTCTGGCTGTGTACGTGAGATGCATACATCATCTCCATTTACATTCAGCTGCAGAAAGCCATTCCACAAAAATGGAAATTAGAAGAATTCCTTTCCATTTATCTGAATAAAACATCTGAGTGGATTTATGCTCTTTGGTGTAATCTCGTTGTCACTTCCATAAACCAAATCTACACCTCCCTTCAGTTTTTGTCACCTCAGATTGGCGTCCTCACCCTCTGATAACGACATTTTATATCTAAATATAAATTCATCATTTACCACAGGAAACAATTTACAATCAAAGCAGGTAAAGCTATTTGGATACATGTAATATTTGCCTTAAAAAGGCAGATCATTGAGCTGCTCATGGAGTTATGATCTTTGGGGTTTTCATTTTTTGGTGAAAAATTGGAGATATCCAGAATTGGCTTAAAATACTCAGCAGAATATGAAGATTGTGATAAAAAAAATATAAAAAACTTGAGCAAGTGAACTTAATTCATTCTGAGCTGCAGATGTGAAAACTCTCCCTAATTTTCTCCCTAATTGAAATGATCTCCCTGTTGTAAAAGATTTACGATAATTAAACTTTAAAGAAAGCCAAAGAGGAATCTCATATTAAATCTCACCTCTAGTAATTGATACTTATTATTATGAGTGCGGCGTGAAGCCCTCAGAATGTACACGCACACTCATATTAAACATAAAGATTATATTTGATCAAGTTGTGAGCACTCGAAACCTCTAGCACCTGCTAATAGAGGCACATGGTAACATGAACTCATAATGGCTCTTAGAAATCCTGATGGAGACCAAAGGCAGCTACTAGAGTGGCAAAATTCCTCATCAGTCGTCTTCTACCCCTCACTGACAGCCCCAGGCCAACGTAAACGATCTACCTATGCAAATCACTGTCATTGTTGTGAGAAAAATCTGCAGCAGTAAAGGCCACCCCCCCTCACCCCCCCACCCGACCCCCCCGGGTCCCCTTAAGCCAGCCGTGTCACTGCTGGGTGACCACTGTGTTGCTGCTGAGGAATTAGGGGGGAGATTTGCAGCAGGATTAATAACTCATTCTGCAAAAGCAGCTGGACTTCTTTGGAGTTTCATATAATGCAACCCCTTTGGGTAGTTTGGACTTTGTCATCTGGACCAATTATTTCACCTATTTGATCCTTTTTTGGGGGGCTTTTTTGGTCGTGCTGCACCAGAAAAACAGATTTATTCAGTATCCAAATGTGAGAAGGAACTCAGACCAAATCCCTAAATGTGAATGATAACATTTTACCATCTTATTAGGTGTATGTTTACTTGTTGTTTGATCAGAAACATCCTTTTATATTCAGGCTTTCACTTATGGTGTGAATATATAGGTGGAGTTATAAAAAGTGCAGATTCAAATCTAAGGCAGTAATCAATACACATACTACTAATCTGTAGTAATCAGTGCATGCAAATAAACAAAAAAGACACAAGTGGCAAACTTTTTTTCCATATACGAAGTCCGACCGTGTTGCTTGCCAACACAACTCATGCCAAAAAAAGGAAAAAAAAAAAAAACCCAGATAATTAAATAAAGACGTTCGCTGCTGATATAGAATCTGACACACTTTGACTGCTGCTTGGTAAACATGCAGCTTTACAGTCGCTGATTTTTGTCAACTGTCAACACCGTGTTAGCACGTCGAGCAGAAATGTCATTCTGTCAGTCTCAATGAGCGTTAAATCAAAAGCAAAAGATACCGACTTTCATGGGGAATAAATAGCTGACATTAATTAAAGAGAAACCGCATAGGGGGTATTCAAAACGAATCTAACTCAAAAATCCCAGCCTGAGTTACTGAAACACAAAAGTAGATGACTTTTCTCTAGAACTTGAGGAGAGTTGGACCTTCCGGAGATTAAAGATAAGGCAGGGCTTCACTGCACCTGGAATGATGAAACTCCTTCATTTTTTTGCCTATATCCCTTGTAAGATGTGGAGCATCAGTATTTAAGGAATACCAGATGGTTCCTCCTACCATCAGACACTCAAATCAAAGGTCTGTGACAAATCTCTCTCTTTTTTAACCAAAATTGCCCGTCCCTTTGAGCTAGGCTCTGAACTTTGCAGACCTTTCTTCAGAGAGTTTGGTGCATTTCCTCAGGCTACATATTGACTTGAAGTTTCAACTCTCACAAAAGGTGATGGGTAAAAAAAAGAAAAAGAAGGGACAGTATTTTGCACTCGGCCATCTGCATGACCTGTGCCACAACAGAGGGGGGGGGGGCTAACCCCCCAGAAAAGCAACAGTAGTTTGAAAACCAACTCACCATCGGCAGTTCCAGGGGCAGGAGCAAACAGGGTCCCTGAGCCAGTTTTAACTAAGAATGAACCGGGGCCAAACTCATCCTCAGAGTCAGAGTCCTGGGCTGGCTGAGCCGCACAGTTGCCTAGCAACCGTCCTCGGCTCTTCTCATTGGCCGCAATGGAAGGGGGAGGGTATGGGAGCTGCTCGACAGGGGAGGAGGAGGAGGAGGAGGATGAACAATGCAGCGGAGGACCTGTGGACCACAAACAGAGACAGCACATGGGGGGGGGGGGGGGGGGGAAAAAAAAAACGAGGGGGGGGGGGGGGGGGGGGGGGGGGGGAATGAAACACACCCAAACACTGGCAAACATCACACAGAGGCAAAACACACACACAGAGGCAAAACACACACACACACACACCGGCTCACTCACACATGCAAGACTTAACTCCGACACTTCAAAAACAAACAGGGACACATCTGCCTGTATCTCCGCCACCCCCCCCCCCCCCCCCCCCCCCCCCCGGGGGGGGG